GCCACCTGATATTTCTGGTGTGTTAAAAACAGTAAATCTCATGCTCTGCTGTATCTGATTTACTTGTACAGTCAGTTGCTGATGAGTTCAAAGGGAAAGAGACAGAAATGATGACAACTATAGAGGAACTACAGAAAATATTGAGACAAACGACGGAGTCACATACAGAAATGGAAGATCAAATGAAAGAAATTGAGGAAAAACATATTGAAAAAGAAAGGCTTTTAGGTAACTATAGCAACTCTTTAGTGGCTGTTGATTATTAAAACTTATGTACAGGGAACAAAAGTCATTTGCAACTGCTGCTGTTATTTCTTATTTTTATGCGCTTCACCTTTTCAATATACATTTCTTTGTTGCAGAAGAGAAGGTTGAAAGTTTAGAAAAGGAGCTTGTGCATGCAAATGACTTGATAGCTGTAGCTAAACGGAAAGGTAAGAAACTTGTCCATGCCTACGACTTGATAGCTTTCACTAAGCGGAGATGTAATAATTACTTAGCAGTGAAATTTTGACTATATGTCCACCAGCCTTTCCTTAATATATTTCTTAGGTGACGAAAAAAAACATGATTAGTTTATCACCATGGTGATGATATTGTACAACATGCATTCATCACACTCTAAATAGAACTGGTTGCAACATTGAAGTATTTCTTTGAATGTTTTGCATGAAATTGTAAGAAACATTCACTGTGTTCAAATTTACATTTTTTGTATAATTCACCATTTGATAAAATCAGATTTTATTTTGAAAAATTTTTTAAAAAATCTGAGTGAATGTCACTTCACCCCAAAAACCCAGACTTCCTGTGAAAACGGTTATGTAGAGAAGCTTGGATAAAATTCATATTTGTCCTCGTGGTAGTGGTGTCCTCTGTAAATCTTTTAAATTTTTGTCCTGTTTGAATAATGTATTGTGAATTGATTTTTAATTGTTTACAAATTTAAGTATCAATGAGTCAAAATGGACATATCAAATTTATTATGTATCATTTATAGGTATTTCACCGCTGTCCGAATCAGAGCTGAGTACTTTATCTCCCACGGCGGCGGCAGCGAGTAGTCTGCTCAAATCGGGAATGACATTAACACAGGTCAGTGTTAAACGTTACTTTTTGGGATAAAGAATTTAGAATCATTAGGGTCAATGGGGCCTATTATTTTCATTGTGTATATGTTCTATACTTTGCTATCATAATGTCTCCTAATATACTGTAAACTATTTTTTGTTAGCAATGACTTGATAATTTAGTGACACAGTTTTTAGGACGATGGGCGTTGCACCACTTATGGCGCCGGATTTGTGTTGATAAACATATTTGATTTTTGAACAACCCTCAAAGCTCTACCAACAATTCAATATGGCGGCTTGTACATTGGCGAATTGATCTGGACGAAATAAACTCTGTGCTCATGGTGATGGGGAAATCTGTATTGGATTGTAGTTTACAGTTATAAAGCTTGGTACAGCCTTATTTCTGATTCGTTCAAAGTTGATTCTGCAGATGTTCGCATTGCAGTATATGTGTGATGCAACCGCTTTTTAACAAATTCACAGATGGCTTCATGTTTTGATGAACTTCATTGAAATTTGCACTGCATGAAATCTAACAATTTTCTCTTGAATATAAAAAGCAAAAGTAGTTGTTTATTTAACTTAATTGTTCTTTGCATCAAATGTATTATTACATACAGATGTACAGTGCCTATGTTGAATCTAGTGATGACTTACAACTGGAGAAGGAAGAAAATAGAAGATTAAACATGTATCTAGATCAAATACTGAAGGTAAATTGTGTACAGTGTTTGTTCTTTACAAGATGGTAATAACAAGAGAGTTTAAGATTTACATACTTAGCAGGAACATAACGTGTTGTTCTAATTTCGTTTGCATTACGTTCTCGGGTGTCAGAAAATGACAAGCGCCCACAGTGGGAACATAACTTCATTAAACAGAGAGCCATGTAAACGCATCACTCATTGGGCAATCATAATTTAACTATCCAATAAAATTTATGTCATTTCTTGTTTCGGAATCTGGATTAGTATTTCTCACACATCTGACAGAGCTATTTCCATCTACTCTGCAGAGGTCTCAGTCCTGTTTGCCGCAACCTCTTGCACCAGATCAATGTGAACCGATCTTCGCAGGAATGGCCATTCTGAAATGTTTAAGAACAGTTCATTTAGTTCTGTTTAACCTAACTGGTTAGTTTCGAGAAAGTGATCATAAATGCCCGACGTCGTCTGCTTTGCTTGCATTATGAGCTAACCCCCTTTTCTCTAGGCATAAATTTCAGCCAAAATGCATCCAAAATTTCTAATTTCACAATAGATATACAAAATCACTCTAATATAATATATTGTACAAATGTCAGTAAATATTAATCAGCAAAAAAAGCTCTCAACTATGAGTCACTCACCTTGACCACCTTCAAAACGACCGTTCGTACAACCTGTTAACCGATGACGTCATTGGTTTGCACGGAAGTCATGCACAAAATAATGATGTATCTGTTCTTGTTCTGTTCTGTTCTCTTTTCTGCATCTTAATGTCTTTACTATCACAGTAAGCCAGAGTTACTAGTGTCTCTGTGTTTGGTTGAAACCAATCTCCATTTAAGCCACATGTGTGCCAGAACATTTTTATTTGGACTTAACTGAAAGTGTCCTAACCCGAAAAAAAATGATGTTACCAGTGTTGGATTTGAATTTGTAAACACTGAACTTAGTCCACTCACAATGTAGTAGTGGCATTTAAAACTTCACTGTGAAAATAATTGATTTTGTCAACATTAACAAAAACCTAACTTCTAAGATAAGTTTCCATCAAAGTTACTCACACTTTGTGGTCAGAGCAGAGGTCATGAACTGTTTATGCTACTCCAAAAAAAAAGTCTTGAGTCTGTAGGTGACCATGTTTGCCATTTTGCCATCACTTCGAAAGTTGGATTTTAGCCAGGTTCTCTTCTTCTTAGGTTAGTAATGGTACAATCTATTGATAATTATTTGAGTAACCAACTTTTATTTTTATGAAGAAAAAAAAAAATTGGCAAAGCTCTGTTTGGTTCTATATGGATATATATATTTGATTTATTTCAAAACTTTAAAAGGTATCCTAATCTAAATATTGAATAAATTATTTCTTTTTTCCGTATTTGGAAATTAAAGAATATTGTCTGAATTCTGAATAAAATATGTTAATGTTTGTACTTATGTCTTTATTAGGAAATTGAAGAGAAAGCTCCAGTTTTACAGAAACAGAGAGAAGATTATGAAAAATCCCTCCAGACAATTGATCAGTTGTCAAGGAGATTGGATGGAGCCATGTTGGTATGTGTTTCATCATTTTAATTTAACTGAATTTACATGAAGCAAAGGTTACATAGTTAAAGAATAAATGAAATTGGTAGAGCCACAGGCTAAGCACTAGATGATGTATGGGAGCGTAAACAATAATGTTTTGTTTTGCAGGACATTCAAAAATCAAGTGAATGATAAAATATTTCCTCTGAGCTATGTTCCCCCTTCACTGTGATTTGCCATAATAGACTTTCTCTTTAGAAATGTTCTTTCTTTAAGCTGTTCGCTAAACTCTTCTAGCTTTTTGTGATTTCTTCATTAATGTGTTTTTTATCCTCGTGTCAACTACCTTCCCCTCCACGCAGTGAGACTTGTAAGTTAATGCGACGTCCTCCATCACAGGGTTTAACCAGTGTGATTCACTTCTCAAAATTATCTCTCTACGAAATGATGTCTCCATAATGTACCCCCTCAAGTAAATAAATATTACCTCTTCAGGAATGTGAAAAGCTAAGAGTAACAGCAGATGAGTCAGAGAGGAAAGCAGCACAACAATTGAGAGAAAATAATAGAATGGTACAACAGACATCAGATCTAGGCCAACAGGTCAGTTTACAATGTTACCGTACCGCCACCAATGATTTATATGCAATGTGTGTGTCATGCAATGAATAATCTCACTTAAATTGACAAAAGTCTTGCAAATTGTGATATGATAACAAATTTTGCAAATGAGTGTCTGCGAAAGAACTGATTAGTCTTCATCTGAAATCTTATTTGATAAGTTTCTTGCACATTCTGTATTTTGATAATTTTGTGTTTTTAAGCTATTTAGTTTTACAACTTAATTTTATAAGATTAAAACGTTATCGCAAAAAGTAAACACAAGACACACGTTAGATCAAAAGAAATACTTGCATTGCCAGTCTGTTTAATAGTGGTCTGAGTATTGAGGCCAAGTTGAAGGCCAGCGCACAATTGCATTATTTGTTAACAAAACAATGTTGTGCATTAGCTTATGAACACCATTCTTTTTTTTTTTGAAATAATATGAAAAACATACTCATTGCTTCATTCTGAAAAAAAACACATTAAACGAGTACTTACTTGTACAGTGTTAATACTTGTACATCATTACACATGAAGAGTTCAAACATTTTTATATTCAGATATTTCATAACATTATTTTAAGGGATATTTTTTTTCAAATGTACTCATCATGTATCTATATTATTTTGAAGGTGCGAGTATTATTGAAGGAAATAGAGGAGGCACGTGGTCACGTCAGCGGTTCACATGAAGCTCATGTTTCATCCAGTGATATTTCTAGCTCGTCTAATCTCATATC